TTCCATAAGTCCGAAAACGGCCTGAGGCAGCGCGGGGAGGCTGCCGGCAGCAGGGACAGGGGGGGTGTCCGGAAGGCTTCCAGGCAAAGGCCTGGAAGCCTTCGACACCCCCGTACCCTTCCCCCGCTGCCGCTGAGAGCCTTCCGAGCTCTCAAAGGGCTTTCTCCAATATCAGAGGGGGCCCTTTGAGAGCTCGGAAGGGAATTGTCGGCAGGGGACGGTGGCTTCGGGGTCCTTCCGAGGCCGCAGCCCACTGCCGACATTTTCCCCCAGCTGAGCAGCGGGGCTTCAAAGCTCCCGCCGCTCAGCTGGGGGAAAATGGTGCCTATGGGGAAAAATCGCAAAGCGATTTTTCCCCATAGGCAAGATCGTTGTGCGATCGCAAAAGCGATGGCAACAAAGCCATCGCTATGCGATTTTTTCGTTAAACGGGGCACTCGTTAAACGAGGCACCACTGTAGTAGTAATTACCTATACCAAATACTGTAAATACAAGCTGTCATCTTCTACATAGATTATTGCATGTATTTATAAGAAAAATAAACAGTTGTTGTTTAGTCATTCAGTCACGTCCAGCTCTTTGTGACCCCATGGACCAGAGCACGCCAGGCCCTCCTGTCTTCCACTGCCTCCCGGAGTTGGGTCAAATTCAAGTTAGTAGTTTCGATGACACTGTCCAACCATCTTGTCCTCTGCCATCCCCTTCTCCTCTTGACCCTCTTTATTTCCTTCAAAATGGATAGGTCTGTTCTCTTTGCAGTCCAGGGGACTCTCAAGAGTCTCCTCCAGCACCACAGTACCTTTGTAACTTAATCAACACCAGAAGTGCAAGCATGATTTTTACTCATTCCAAATCTCAGCTGCTTCAGTACAAGAAAATGCAACATTTATGAATGCCTGGTGCACCACCATCTCTGATACATGGGTTTTAACCATTATGGCTCATGGTTATGGACAGAATTTGACAGACTTCCTCCAGCAAGACATATTAAAGTCACCAACCCATCAAATGCACTCAAAGAAGAGGTAGTGACTTTACTAGAAAAAGATGCTCTAATAATGATACCAAGAAAATACAGGGGCAATGACTATTATTCCTGTTATTTTACTGTACCAGGATGGTGGCTTATGTGAAAGGAGATCTGAAAGGAGTCAACCCCAATGAAATTTCAGATAGTGATACAGAGAATCACAGTTAGAACTACTACTACTACTACTACTACTACTACTACTACTACTACTACTACTACTACTACTACTACTACTACTACTACTACTACTACTACTACTACTACTACTACTACTACTTAGTATTAATTATTATTATTCCACACATCTGACAGCCAAGGTCACTCTGGGTGGTTTACAACAACTAGACAGAAACAATAAAATAACAAAATAAGATGGCATTGAAAAATTAAAAAGTGCAAACCAAAATACCATAAAGTATGGTGGAAAACATAGTGAAATATAGTACAATACAATAATAGCATAAAAACATGGTGGTAAGTTGAATGTTACATTGTATTTTTGGTAAAGCAACAGTACAGTGGACTTTTACCCCACTATACAATGAAAAAACAAACAATACACTACATAAACATAGGTAAGTGCGTACATGGGACACGCATGCACACACATATACCCTGGCCCTTCCAATATCATACAGATGTACTGGATAGGATGACCGCTCTAAGTCTCCCTCCTTCAGTAAGCAAGCTGCAATCCTTTCCTACCTTACAACCAGGCTGTGTCATGTTACAAACAGGTCCAATAATCTCAAGGATTTGGTTTAAATTGATCCTATCTTTATTGACTACGCGAAAGCCTTTCATTGTGTGGACTACAGCAAACTGTGGTCAGGCACTGACCACCTTATCTATCTCCTGAGAAATCTATATGTGGGACAGGAAGCAACAGTTAGAGCTGGATATGGAACAACTGATTGGTACAAAATTGGGCAACGAGTACGACAAGACTGTATATTGTCTCCCCGCTTATTTAAATTATATGCAGAATGCATCATGCGAAAGGCTGGACTGGAGAAATCCCAAAATGGAATTAGGATTGCCGGAAGAAATATCAACAACCTCAGATATGCAGATTATACCACTCTGATGGCAGAAAGTGAGGAAGAGTTAAAGAACCTCTTAATGAGGGTGAAAGAGGAGAGTGCAAAAAATGGTCTGAAGCTCAACATCAAAAAAACTAAGATCATGGCCACTGTCCCCATCCCCTCGTGGCAAATAGAAGAGGAAGCTATGGAGGCAGTGACAGATTTTACCTTCTTGGGCTCTATGATCACTGCAGATGGTGACGGCAGCCACAAAATTAAAAGACACCTTGATATTTTAATTTGAAACTGATGACAAACCTCAACAGCATCTCAAAAAGCAGAGACATCACCTTGCCGACAAAGGTCCGCATAGTCAAAGCTATGGTTTGTCCAGTAGCAATGTACGTAAGTGAGAGCTGGACCATAAAGAAAGCTGACCACCGAAGAACTGATGCTTTTGAATTGTGGTGCTGTAGAAGACTCTTGAGAGTCCCCTGGACTGCAGGAAGAACAGACCTATCCATTCTGAAGGAAATCAATAATTAGTGCTCACTGGAAGGACAGATCCTGAAGCTGAGGCTCCAATACTTTGGCCATCTCATGAGAAGAGAAGACTCCCTGGAAAAGACTCTGATGATGGGAAAGTGTGAAGGCAAGAGGAGAAGGGGACAACAGAAGATGAGATGGTTGGACAATGTCATCGAAGCTACCAACATGAATTTGACCCAACTCTGGGAGGCAGTGGAAGTCAGGAGGGCCTGGCGTGCTCTGGTCCATGGGGTCACGAAGAGTCAGACATGACTGAACGACTAAAGAACAACAAATCTTTATTAACCTCCCCTCTGCTGGGGTTTTGCTTAGACATCTTACCAGATGTTTTAAGAGCATGGAAATTTTAGCAACAGCTTTTTACAGTATTTAATTCATCCTATCATTTTAAAAAGAACTAGCTCTTATATTTAGGAATCTTAGAAATCATAAACAAATTTAGCAGCATTTCTCTACCTTTTGAGGCTTACTAGATTTTAAAGAATTTCCGAACTTTAGTTTTTTCAGATGTTATGACTGCTATTTCCTGCTGCTTTACAATTTGAAGGAAGGAGGAGGGATCCTTTTCATATTAGTTATACTTTGAAAACTGAAAATAGTTTTTCTACACAAATGGGAGCATAGATGTGTATGTGCTCTTCTACCGAGTAAATGAAAGAATGCTAAAAATGCATTTTAGCTTTCTCACAACATTCTTGTCTTTTAATGTTAATGGTGTAATATTTCATCTTAGCTTATATTCAAAAGAATGACATTGACTACACTCTTGACGCAAAATCTTTTTATAAAACTAGGACACTCATGTAAACTCTTGAGAAAGAACATGGGACTACTAGTAATAAATGAAGGCTCTCTTGATGTAAGTACAATCTAACATTCTATTGTTATGCTGTATGTTGTCCTTTAAAGAAGACCAGATTCCTACTCTTCAGGGAAGCAACTAAGGACAGGACAGCCTTTGTTGAAACCTGTTCCCCATGCACCCTTGCGAGTTGCAGGGAATCTTTGTGACACACAAAGGTGAAGCTGGGTGCTTTTCAGAGGGTGCAAAGAAACAGCATGGAGGTAATAGGGCTGATCTACCTCCTGCTGTTTGACTGCTTTCAGTCCCACAATTTGGCCTGAGGATTTTTTTTGCTGAATTATGGGTCTGAGATTTCTTTTTATCTGAATGTTCCATCACTAGAAGTAATTCTCATGGCTATGCATAATGTAGAAGAAAAATTGTGGTTCATATTTTCTATGTAGCACAGCTGACAGTCTACAATTCTACATAGTAGGCCAGGAACAACCTGGTACTGTACTCGTTTGTTTCCCAGAAGCAGATGTCAAGGGGATGGACCTGAAAGGGAGAGTTCCGTCTCTAGTCTGTACCTGTGGAAATATGAAAAAGCCTCTTGCTGTATCCAGCTTTCGTCTCCATATTCCCAATGTTTATTCTATTTACCATTCCAGTTGAAGTTGATGCTGTAAAAAAAACTATACATGGAGAACAAACTCAATAGTGCATATGAGTTCTGTGATTCAAGCAATATTCACATTCTGTTAATCCATATATGCCCATTAGAGGGCATTATTGAGTTACGGAATGTCATGGAAAATATACAGCTGGAACAACGCGAATAATAGAGATAATGGAAACAGTTACAGTAGTTTAGCAGATGGTAGGGTCAGATATCAGTCTTCATATTGTACCTCTGTGAGATAGTTTGGGGATGCCATATTTCCCCAGAAATAAGACAGGGTCTTATATAATTTTTTGCTCCGAAAACGCATTAGGGCTTATTTTCAGGGGATGTTTTATTTTACAGTCATGTCATTTTCTGGTTGCTGCACAATGATGCACAATGGTGGAGGGCAGGGTTTCTCTCAACTAGTGCTTATTTTTGGGGTACGGCTTATATTATGAGCATCCTGAAAAATCATATTAAGGCTTATTTTCAGGTTAGGTCATTTTCCGGGGAAAAGGGTAGTAATTAGCTTACCTTACAAGATAGTTATAAGAGTTACTGAGATTATGTCTGTGAAGTATTCTGAGAGCATGGAATTATAAAATAGTGGTTGTGTTTACTATCTATTATTTTTATTTAATTAATAGTACTGTATTGTTGTTTTACAAGTAGTTAATGTATAAAAGAAGGAAATATAACCATAATTGAAACTTGAGGAACTGAGCAGAGTTCAGTCCCAGGGAGATGGTTGTAGTACGACAACATAAACTCTTTGTGTCCTGTGCCATCAAGTCAGAATAAACATATAGTGACTCTAATAGAGCTTTCAAGATAAGTATTTAAGGAGTAGTTTTACCAGTTCCATTGCTCCAGTGGGTTTCCATGGCCAAGTGGGGATTCAAACCATGTTCTCCAGAGTCCTGGTTAGCCTATCTTAAATTTATGTTCAGTTTCTAGGGATGGGATTTTCGAAATTCATGGGCTACAGCTGCCAGAAGTGTGCAGAGATTCCCCAGCCAGACTTCTGGAGGTACTAATCAAGAAATCAAAGTCCTGACAGTGCTTTCAAGTTCTTAAACTAATGAATTCAGACTTTGGTGGCTATTTTTGTCCCTTGAAGAAGACAGAGGAAATGGATAGTCTAATGTCCATGAGAGCTACAAAAGATTATGGGTCTAGTAGGTTTTTAAAGAGGCTTCCTGCCTAATGGGCAGAGACTACCATATCCCTAATCTCTTGCAAACTCCTACAGGATTTAGCCCTGCCCACCTATTCCCTCATCTTCTCCACAGGATGAAAGTAGCTGCTGGAGTCTGGATTTATTAGCTTAAGTACTAGAAGCAACACTCAGGACTTTGATCTCTTGATTAACAGTCCCAAAACATCTGACGGGGAATTCCTACAGACTTCTGGGGGCTGTAGTTCATGAATTGCAGAAATCCCATGCCTATACTTTCTAAAAAATAATTATTCACATTTTCCAAAATATGTCTAAAAGCTAGCCATTTTGCTGCTTTTTTGTAATCTCAGTAGTATTCCCAATTAAATTATATGTAATGAAAGAAACAGCTGCATGTTGCATTGAACTTGATTCAATGGAACATTCATTTGTAAATGGTAAATCCTTCATTAAATATCACATTGGGTGTCACAAGCATCCACTCTTTTGTATTTTAGGTGACAGATAAATCACTTTTGTATTATTTACATAGGCACTGAGCTTGGTTGCGTGTTGTGGAATTGCTGATTTTTAATAATCTGTCTAAAATTTCCTTTTAAACTGTACTACTACAAGCGATTGCAGTTCTTAATTTCTGTTGACCTTGTTTTATAGTATTGGTTGGTTTGAATTACGATATTAGCTGATATGATAGCTACACTAGTAACACAGATAGAACACTTTTATATAAATATTAAAGTAATGTAAAACTATTAAAGAGAAGTGAAGTGATATCTATTTTTGGTGTGATCTTTTATAGGCAACAAGAGAGACATTAAGCCATCACTGCAGCACTCTTGGTGATGCTTTGAGGAAGGAAAATGATTTTGCCCTTATTATCGATGGTAAAACTCTGAAGTATGCCTTGACATTTGGTGTGAGGCAGTATTTCTTGGATTTGTCTCTGTCATGCAAAGCTGTTATTTGTTGCAGGTAAAAGCTTTGTCTTCTGTACAAAATATTGATATAATATTGTGAAGCATTTTAATTGAATTTATACAATCAACTAGTTTCTGCAGTTACTTCCCCCCCCCTTTTTTTTTTGGTCTTATATGAAGAGTGTCTTTTTGAAGAGGAGAATCGCCTCTCTCTTTGGGAGTGGGGGGGGGTATGACCTGAACAGAGAGCTTCCGCAAATAAAAGAGTCTCTCCTTTTCACATCATTGCTCTTCATGTAAGAAAAATATTAATGGGAGAGATGAAATGCTGCTAATACATTCCTATCCATGAATGAGTCTGTAATACTTTTTATTCCTCTGCTGTCTGATGTAGTTCATCAGGCAGCAGGTGATGTAATATACCTGGCCTAGTTTAATCTTTTGCATCTTAAGAAAACAAGTATGCCAGATAGAAGGGAAGAGCAGTTTCTCTGGTACCTAGATTTTTGCACTCAGGAAGGCTTTGAAAAGGGAGGGGTTATTTAGTCATGTAATCTGATTTCATAACAGTCCAAAAGCAATTTGACCACTGTCTCTCTTGTTTCTATGAATGTTTCTGCGTGAACAATTTCTTTCTTTCTTTATTAGTTAATATCATCCATCTAGAGCATGTCTGGGCGGTTAATTTGAACTGTTGGGGGTCACAAAATGAGAAGGCTGATGGGCTTTGTGATCACAAGTAATTAGGATAGCAAATAGTCTCTTAGCGACAGAAGTTAAAGAAGTAATCCACACACAGGGATGTCTGCCAGCAGTGCTCCTGATAGGCGATTAGTCTGAGGAAGCAGAGTGAGAAGTCTTCTCTGCCCTGCCCCCAGGAGGACTGTGCTTTTATTAACCTTACAAGCTCACAGATAGTTGACAGTGTACAGATAGTTTGCAGAGTTCAGATAGGACAATGGTTACATCATGTCGTTATGATTGGCCTAAGGAAAGGCTCTTTAAGCAAGCTCTCTAGCACCTATGAGAAAGAAGAAGCAGCGTCATCCAGGAGGGTTTGCCCTCTACTGTAAATTAAATCAACAGCTTAGCAATTTAGGGAATGGCACCCCCACAAGAACAAGGCATGTTAATTAGAAAAAAAAAAGACTTGTGGCATAAACTGAAGTTACTGTATAGATATTGATATTGATAGAGCCCTGCTTATGTCCAGTTTTCAGTTACACAAGGCAGAGATTGTCCTGTTGTTTTAAACAGGTATTCTGTTACCTTAAAAGTCGCTACATTTCCCCTTGTGCAAGTGGTGGGGAAAAATGAACCAAGCACAGAACAGACTGTTCTGCAGTATATTAGCAATCAACAAAATACTTTCCAAGGATTTCAGATATTTGTGATCAGAAGCAGCCGTCCAATAGCAACGGTGACTTCTTGTTTTGCTTAGAAAAAAATCAAAATTTTAAATGTAGTTTTTTAAAAATAAAAACTTTTCTTTTCATTTTTATAGGGTTTCACCTCTTCAGAAATCTGAAGTTGTAGAAATGGTTAAAAAACAGGTAAAAGTGGTAACATTAGCAATTGGTGATGGCGCAAATGATGTTAGCATGATACAGACGGCACATGTAGGTGTTGGTATTAGTGGAAATGAAGGGCTACAAGCAGCTAATTCTTCAGATTATTCAATAGCACAGGTAAATCTTTCCACTGATACAAGATTTTAAGTGATAAACAGCCAATTATTGCAAACCTGTAAATAAGCCTGTTGTGTTTTATTATTTATAGTTCAAGTACTTGAAGAATTTACTCTTGGTCCATGGTGCTTGGAACTACAGCAGAATTGCTAAATGTATTTTATACTGCTTCTACAAGAATATTGTCCTTTATATTATTGAGGTAATAATGGAACATTTTACCATAATAATTGTTATCACGTTTTATATGGTTCTTTTTTTCTATTTTGATCTGTAAAACCCAATCCAGGATAGATATATTTATTTCTGATTGATTATGTGAAAAGCATGGACTTTTAATAGATTTTTAAAATGATATGACATAATATAATGGATTTACACTAGCCTACATTTAATTGTGTTCAATCCCAGGTAGCCGGCTCAAGGTTGATACTTACACCAGCATAAATCCACAATTGGATTCTGGCTATAACTAAAACAAAGCAGATAAGAAGTTTATGTTATATGTGTCCTTATTTTTGTAATATATGCTTCAATAGTAAATCAATAAAGCATAGTAAGTCTTGAAGTACATAAGCACATCTGTAGTTCCAAAAGGCCAGGGCCAAATTTCAAGATGCTATGTTCTCCTTCCCTTTCTGTTATATACTACTAGTAACTCCATTCCTGCGTTCTGCCACAACATTCTGAAATGGAGAATAGGGACTTGTTTTTTCTGTGATGTATCCCTATCTTTGTCAGCCATGTCTGCAACTTTCCAGACATGAATTCAGACCCTCTATCTGTCTGCAATTAGACCACCTTTTGCCCATAACGTCTTTCCACAAAGTTCACCCATCCTCTGAAATGATGAGACACTTCTGCCTTATTTTTCATGAGAAAAAGAATGAGAAACATTGTGTGGCCATCAACCAAGACTAAAACATATTTAGCTCCTCCCATAGTTGGCGAAGACATGAGGGCCTGGTGTGCTCTGGTCCATGGGGTCACGAAGAGTCAGAAATGACTAAACGATTAAACAACCCAGTTAAAAACATGGCTTTATGTTAAGGCCTTCCCTCCTGCCAGCATTTAATCTAACTTAATTTATTTTTCCTCTTTATTTGTCATTTATGATTTATGTTATCTTTGTTAATTGATATTTTTATTTTATGTTTCTATAATTGTATTAATACTGTTGTTAGCCGCTCAGAGTGGTATAGATGTATCAGATGGGCGGGATATAAATCAAATAAATAAAAAAAAATAATAAAAAAAAAACAACAACAATAGATGGTGCTAGAGGCCCTATTATATCTGCATGGACCAACTGGAAAGGCCTCTGTGTTTGCCAGTTACTTTCCTTGCTTATACTTTGGACCTTTGATTTTGCAACTCTGCATACATTGCAATCCAGAAAATTCTTACAGGGTTTCATTTTCAAACCTTTTACCATCCTTTGCATTTTTCCACCACTCTGAAATTAGCATGACCCAGTATCCTGTGCATCAAATGAGCACACTGGTCATGTGGTGGTGTGCTTTTGACTATAGCATGTGTTACTTTGTTTTGTGTTCTTCCCTTCAGTACATATAAATTATTTTCAAGTTTTGCTGTGTGGCACCCTGTTCCCTTTCTTAATTACACATGTGCTACCAGCAAATGTAACTGTAAACTCTCCTTGTCCAAACATGAGACACTTAGGATATTACAGTCTAAATTGGGCACATGCAATGCAGCATGTAATTCCCTTTGCTAGCCTGGAACATAAATTTTTCCGTCTCCCATTACTGACAATTTCTGTCAATTCGCCAGGCTCACAAAGCTGTGTTTCGAAGCACCTAGGGAAGAAAACAGGTCTGATATATGAGTCAAACGGCAAACAGCTCCACTGTCAAGAATCTAGGTTTTGACCTTGGAGTCCTTATCAGAAGCCTGTACAAGAGAAATCCTCCCTTGCTTCTTGCCTCCACTTCTCCAGCTAGGTTCTTTTACTCTGCAGTTCCTTTGCAAATGCTTTTCCAATCCACACTTGAAACAGCATCTTACGGCATGAGCCTTTCCTGTCTGTTCTCCATCGCTCCTGGAAGCAGCTCTCCTCTGCTGTGGGATGTCTTCTCTCATTCTGACTTGGAACCTCTCATTCCTTTTTTCCTCTTCCTCCAACAATCTGCCTGTCAGATATTCCAGGGTTAAGTCCCTCTCTGGCATGGATTCAAGGCTTGTTACTAGCACATCGTAGTCTTCTGGAAGACTGCTCAGTATCACATACACTTTGTGATTCTCTGTGAACTGCATGCCCCCCTGCTCAAGCTCCACAAACAGATTTCTCATCTGCTGTAAGTGTTCTGACATGATTCCATCATGGTCAAGTCTTGCTCTGTATAATTTACACATCAGAGCAACCTTGATGTCAGCAGAGTCCTGAACATAGGCACAGTGCAGAACTTGCCAGCACTGACCAGCTGAGGTCAGTCCATGCATATTTATTAATTGGCTGTCCTCTAGCCACAGAACTATTGTTAAAGCCTTTTCATTTTGCTTTATCTGTTCCTCATTCAGGACAGGGGGGAGATTGGAAACAATCTTCCACAAATCCTCCCTTCTTAGCAACATTTTGGCTTCAACTGACCAAGTTCCGTTCATTTAGCTTTGTGGGAGGGAATCCTCCTATTCCTGCTGCCCCAACTGACTGCATCTTACTGACTTTTTATCTCCGTCCTCCGTCCTTTATCCCTCCTGGGCTCTGAATGGCAGGATGTTCACCTTACTAGATTTTCTCCACTTCTGGACTGGTTCCTCTGGCCTCGGTACCCTCTGGCACTCACCGGCTTCTCTGGTGCAAGGCAGACATTTCTGGGCCCATAACCCCTTGTTTGTGTAAGTTAGCAGAGTTTTTGTCCCAGTCCAGGCAGTCCAGTTGAATGACACAAAGACAGCTTCCTTCAGCACCAAGTGTATTTACAATATATACAGATGTTTAGCAGTACAAACCAGCAGCATGACAGCACAACATTCATTAGAAGAGATCCATACATTTTCTCCACATGTCCACACAGTTATACACATGCCTATTTACATACAGCCAATCAGTGTGGACATTGCATCATCCCATACTGCATGATTCAGCATTTTGCACACCTGTCAAGTATGGCTGTTGATTATCATAGGCTTTGTTCTGCCTCAGTGTGGAAATTATCCTTGACAATCTTTTCTTAGAAAGAAAAAGTCTGACAGAACATGGTAATCCTTTGTTCAATAGTTTTTATTTTTGTTTTTTTGGTAATTTTTTTCCCCGTCTGGAACGGATTAATCGTGTTCCAATGCATTCCTATGGAAAATGGTGCTTCGACTTACGACAATTTCGAGTTATGACCATCTTCTGAATGACCACGGAAACGTTCTATGGACAAACGCTGGCTCTATGGCTTGGCAATGGAGATGAGCACTGCTCCTTAGAATTGGACACAACTGGACTAATTGTCATGGGGAAACTTTACCTTTAAGAGGGATTCTTACAAATGTGGCTGCTGGGTTGTGCTTTTTTGCTTTTACATTTTCAATATTATTTTAATGGTGTGAGGTGCCTTGTTTCCTATTATGGAGAACCAGGGGATATAAATATTTTAAATAAAATGTATAAATAAATAGTACCAAAACAGATGACCCCACTGGCAGTTTTTTAAAGAAATATTTCCTGAAGCTCTGACTGTTTGAACCATCAAACATCCTATCCACTCCAGGGATTGAAGCTTTTGATTTCTTAGACTACTCCTCTCATAATTCCTCATTCCTACAGTTATACCTGATCTACAGACACCCCACAGACATCTAACTGTAGCTCAGCTTGGCAGAAAAGGCCTTAATTGGAAGACTTTGAGACTTAACTTGGCCTAGCTCCATGCATGCATTCTGTTCCTGCCCCAATGCTAGCTCAGAGATTTCTTGCTCAACAGGGAAACTTGGGGAACTAGGACTAGTTAAGCTTCAAAGCCTTTCTGTTAGATATGTCGCTTATTTAGAATAACTTTTTAATTTTAATAATAAAATGTATTCCCAATTACTCATCATCCTTTTTAAAAATCTTACTAAAATTACATGTATTTAATGAAGCACTGTAAGATATGACAGCAAATACATCTAAAAATTATTGATTATCTTTTCAGATATGGTTTGCATTTGTTAATGGATTTTCTGGACAAATACTGTTTGAAAGATGGTGCATAGGACTTTACAATGTGGTAAGATTTTATGTTATTTCTTTTGGTATTCTGAATTAAAATATAGAGATATTTCATCAAATTGATCTCATGGGATATATATTTATTTTGCACCTTTAGATGTTTACTGCTATGCCCCCACTGACACTGGGAATATTTGAGAGATCCTGCTGCAAAGAAAATATGCTAAAATACCCTGAATTGTACAAGACTTCTCAAAACGCTCTGGATTTTAACTCAAAGGTAAGAAAGTGTGCAGTTTTATAAATGTATAATGTGTTCATTTCATTCTTTTTTAATCACTGTATACAATTACCAAAGTTTCAAATATAGGATTAATAATTAAACTTCTTCTGCTACCTTTAAGCTCCAACAGCTGAAAATAATTGCAAAAGATCATGTCTGTATGCAGAAAATGAATGCACACTGTTGCTTTTTCAGCCCTTCTTCCCAATTGCAACTCCTTGTTCTTCCGAAAGGCTGCTCCTGAATATTGAGGAAATGTCTAGAGTTGGACTTGACAAGGAAGAGAACAGCTGAAGGAGAAATAAACTTAAATAAATAAATAAATAAATAAATAAATAAATAAATAAATAAATAATTTCAGCAGACACCTCTCCATCCCTCAAACCACTTTCTGATTATACATGGGATTAACTCTAAATCCAACTTACGTCTTAGTAAATAGAGAATTTTTCACTTCATTATTAATCTTCATATGGAAGTATATTTTAGAAGAAGTATGTATAGTATACAAAGCTTCTAAATTAAGACTGGAATGCTGCTTAGAAAGCCAGTTTTTGTTTCAAAGCTAATTGTGAGTGGCGTTCTATAGTAAGATATTAAAATTCTCTGGGTAGCATAGAGGAAGATACCACACAAACTATGTTAGTTTTAGCAAAAGGAGTCTGTATTTGCATGTGTCATTCTCACACGCAAAAAGCCTCTAGAATTTGAAGTTGGATTCCTTCTTCAGATTTTGCACAAATTCACAGCTACGCTAATATAAAATATTTTATGGCTACCACTGGATTTGTAATTACTAGTAAGTTATATGAAGTATATATGCCATATTTAATAAGAACGTGGCATATATTTGTATATTTAGTAGTTCTGATGAGGAGGAGGAGGATGTTTATACATCAGATTTTAGGGTAGTGTACAGGGTAAAACAAATTTCAAACATACATTTTTATTCAAAGATGAGGTAGGGTTGTTCTTTACTTCTTCATTTTTAAGCCAGTTGTCAGTTTGACAAAGGTTACACTGATCAATATTGTATAGACTACTTGTAGGCCAGTGATGCCCAAACAAATACGTAAAAATTTAATATGACAACTATATAAATTTTTCAACATTCTGATTTGGTGATTATAGTTAAATGATATGCAGCATTTTTGGAAAAATACTCAAATTTTCTGAGTTGTGTCAGCAATTCATTTGTATATTTTTGATCTTTTTGTTTGTTTTATATATTCTAGATTTTATTTTACATTTTGTGTTTAAATGGCTATGAACTATCATGTTTCCCTGAAAATAAGACAGGGTCTTATATTAATTTTTGCTCCAAAAACCGCATTAGAGCTTATTTTCAGGAGATGTTTTATTTTTTTCATGTACAACAATCTACATCTGTTCAAATGGTCATGTTATCTTCTAATTGCTGCACAATGGTGGAAGGCAGGGTTCCACTTTACTAGGGCTTATTCTTGGGGTAGGGCTTATATTATGAGCATCCTGAAAAATCATACTAGGACTTTTTTTCAGGTTAGGTCTTATTTTCGGGGAAACAGAGTACCTGTAAAGGCAGAATGGTTGATGTGTGATGGATTGGTTTGAAATCATTGTTGCACTGAATGATGATGTGTAGATTTGTTATGGTAAAAAGGGTCAGAGTTCATGGGGCCATGACAGGGGTTAAAGGATTAGCATGTAACAATATATATTGGTCAGGAAAATGGAAAAACAGGTCTAATTTTCTTGCACCCACCTGTGCTTTCTGTCAAATAAAACTTGTGACAATGACACAGCAAAAAGAAGAGACAAAGGTTAATGAGTAACATAAGTTCAAATGTGCAGTGTATTGTGGCATAAATTAGATAATAAAACCTTATCTATTTGAATAAAGTAACAAAGAAGTTAGAGACATGGTGGAACATTTTTTGAGGCAGGCAACTTAATTTCCGTGCCTTTAAACTGACACAATGAAGATTATTCTTTGTGAAAGTAAATCTAGTTATAAAACTTAATATAAGACAATATCTTTTCTTACTTAATGTTTATATACAGTGTAAAGTTCATATTGTTTCATGTATTTTCCATATGTAATTTTTAACAAGTATTTTAACATATAGTTAAAAGAAACAATTATAGAAATATTTGTGTGATTAAAAAAGAGAATGCATATAAATTGACAACAAAATTCCCTTTTTTCAGCTATATATTTAAAGTAGTTGTGTTGGGATCTATTATTTTTCTCTATTGATCCAGAAAATAGAATAAAGACATAAATTAAGATTTTTGATGATAATGTTTAGTTCATCTTTATGATTTGCACATAGCAAAAATAATTTATTTTGACTTGGATTTTTTACCATAATAGGCATTTTTGTACATTTTTGTTAAAGAAATTAAAAATGAAAGATAATGAAGATCTTTTCAGAAACTAAAAATAAATAAATGACCCATGAAGAGCTGTGAAGCAGAAAATGCCTTGGCGATGTTAGCTCTTAGAGGTGGCCCTTTGAAAAACACATTTTCTGAATCTAGCTGAAAGAGAAAAGGAAGGTCAGAGTTCACAGAGTTAGTTTTATCGCAAATGGTTCTCATGAATGTTTGTTTTTCCTTAGGTTTTCTGGGTTCATTGTTTAAATGGCCTCTTCCACTCTGTGATACTCTTCTGGTTTCCACTAAAAGCTATCCAGTATGGTAAGTAAATGAATGAAATCCAAATCTTAGAGTACGTTTCAGTAGTAGTTCTTTTTGGATGACCTACAAAAAATTGTAATCAAGTTCCAAAATGGGTATGTTGCTTAAGGAAATATTGAAGACATAGTAATTGGTGGTGCCCCTACTAAGTCAAGGATTTTGTTTTGTTGGATGGCTGTAGCTTGAGGATATGGACAAGGTGCCCTGAGGAAAGCAACATACCAGGTATCTGCCTCACTCTTGCATTTTTTTAGTTTATAATTGGAAATGGGGGTATTCATATATGAATACGAATATCTCTGCACAGGTGGCGTTAACGAGGATCCAGCCCCATGGGGCCGGACGGTCCACTCACCAATCCACTGTGGACACGGATGACGTGATTCTACGAATGGCTCCACAGCACGTGATCTGCTTGCCATTCCTGGCAGGAGGCCGGAGGACAAGCCTCACTGCAAGGTTGAAGACTGGTGAGGGGATCGTGCACTGCGGAGCCATTGGTAGAATTGCTCCGTCCACGTCCATGGTGGATCGGTGAGTGGACCGTCTGGCCCCATGGGGCTGAATCCTCGTTAACGCCACCTGTGTGGAGATATTCGAATATGAATAACCCTGTCTCTATTTATAATATACCCATTGGATTCATGACAATGTGAATGGAAAACATTGCAGCTCTGGAAAAGGAAGCAGCTGTAGGTTTACCTGTAAAAATATATCCTTGGATCCTGACAGTTGCCATAACTACTAGGCAATCATAAATATCCCCTTCTTGGACAACAGTTTTTGCTACATCTCTCTCAAAAGAGATTGATTTTATGGATCTGTTTAAGTTGTTGTCACACCTGGTTTGGGCACTAGAACTCTCTCTTTCTCTTTGTTAGATCACCTAGTATGCTAAGTAAAAGACAGGGGCAAAGTGTTACCTCTGTTTAAGTGTTTGGCTGCTTTCAGTATCACCAGTTTTGGTACTGTGGAGTGACTGTTCAAGTTAGGGAGCAGGAACATAGTCTTTACATGACTACACTTCTGCTTTTTATTCTTTTCTGCTCTCTACAACAATGAGTATAAAAATGTGCCAGTCACTGAAAAATTGCATTTAGGATTCTAACCTTATTTCTGTTACCTTTTACTATTGTTATCCAATCTGCTACTCAAAAATTTAAGATTCTCCTTACTTATTCATCAACACTTTTTACTGTCTCTCAAAAACAGTACTGTTGTCTTTTTGCATTATTTCCTGATACTTGTCTTCAATCCAGTTATTCTACTTAATCACCTGAATCTGTTCTGGCCATGGTCGTAATCATAAGACTCTGTTTGGGCCATAGTTTTGAAAGTCTCGAAATTCTTTAGGAATACAGTGGTGCCTCTCAAGAACATTGCCTCGTGGGACGATTAATCCGCAAGACAATTGTTTTTTGCGATCGCTGTGGCGCTTCACAAGACTTTTTTTCTATGGACGATTTTCACAAGACAATGATTTTCCCCATTGGAATGCATTAAATAGATTTCAATGCATTCCAATGGGGAACCGCATTTCGCAAGATGATGTTTTCTATGGACGATTTTCGCAAGACGATTTTTCCCCATTGAAACGCATTAATTAGATTTCAGTGCATTCCAATGGGAAACCGTGTTTCGCAAGACAATGTTTTCACAAGACGACATTTTTCGCAGAATGAATTAACATCGTTGTGCGAAGTACCACTGTATTATTTAAGTTGTATTTTGGCATACTGCAATTATTATAGTATTCTTCTTCAGCTTTATTCTAAATGTTGATATTAACTATTCATGATTTTTGCAAGGGCACTCCTGATCCTGTTTCTGCAGAAAGAATATACTTTATCTGTATTTTGTTTCCAATTATGTTGTATATCTGATTGATATATTGGCTATCCACATATACAGTCATCAGTTTGCTGGTGCATGTACTTGCAACAGACAAATTGTTGGCTTCACAGAATTTTATGAGTCACACTTCTACTTCATTTCTGAGTTCTCGACTAGAGATGTGGGTAGTCATATACAAATAATACCCCCACACAGCTGGAGCTTACGAGGGTCCAGCCCCCGGGGCCAGACCATCCACTCATGCATCTACTGCCACTGCCAGCCCCACTCTTTCTTCCAGTCACTCTGGAGCGCCCAGTCAGCTAGCCACTTGTCAGCCTTGCACGGAGACTCATCTTCACTCCTTCTGCCAGGAGTGGCTAGCCAACTGGGCACTCCGGCGCAATTGGAAGGAAGAGTGGGCTGGCATCTTCACCGGACACATGAGTGGACAGTCCAGCCCCAGGGGGCCAGACCCTCTTTAACTCCAGCTGTGCTGGGATATTCATATTCGTAGATGAATACAAATACTCCAATCTCCGTTCTCGACCAAATTCTTCAACAATGCGTGGACCTGATTTATTTTTTGCTGTTGCGTTTCAGTCACCTATGATTATCAGTATGACCTGTTTTGTTTGACATCCAATCAGTTTCCTACTGGGTGTTGCATAAAAGATTCCCATTCTTTTCTTTAGCATCTGTAATTGGAACATAGACTTGAATGAGGATTACATTGATAGCCATTCCATGAAATCTGATTGATACTGTCTGCAAAATTGTTATAGCCTCAAACTGCTTGTGCTACATCTCATCTCATTATTGAAGTCATTCCGTTTCCTCTGAGTTTGTCAATTCCTGAGTAAAAAACTTCATAAATATCAATTGAAACTATACAATTCAGCCCATTTTACCTCACTTAAGTATCACAGTTTTCAAATTTCTTGTTTTATGACTTAAAGATAACATGGATTCATTTATTTTAACATCATTACTTTTTAACATTATTATCCTTTCCAATATTACAGTATATTTAATTGCACTGTAATATAAAACTTATCCTTGTTTTTAGCTGTTTGTTTTTCATTTATTTTGTAAGTTACCATGGGTCTCTGCATTAGGAGAAATAAATTGTGCATTGCAGGAAAACAATGTACCTTGCTACTTTACCCTCCATTGTATAACATTGGTGGCTGAATAATACTGGCAGATCATTACTACAACCATCATTCAGTCTTCTACTGTAGTAAAATCACACCAATGAAATTGTTTGAAAATTGTATTTTAGACACCATTCATCAGGAACTGGGAATTGCTAGAATGTAAAGGAAGTTATTTATTAAAGTCATAAATGTATCTAGGACTTTTAGCTGATTAAAGAAATTTCAGTTGCTTGATCATTTTGAGTTTTTAATCTGTTTATAATGGAGTGAGATGCATTTACCTAAATGCATAGGATTGTACTATTTATCAGTAATGGAACAGTCCTAGTGAGGCGGAGGTTGTGATTAGAGACGGGTATTCATATTAATATATGAATATGAAACCCTCCGCGCAGGTGGACATAACAAGGGTCTGGCCCCCTGGGACTGAACTGTCCACTCAGGCTCCATGCTCCCTTCCATGCTGCTACAGGCTCCATGCTCCCTTCCTGCCATATCACTCCGGAGCTCATAGGAAGAGTGGCTTGCTGATCGGATGCTCCAGAGTGGCTTGCTGATTGGACGAAGAATGATCGGACAAAGTGCCAGGTCAAAGAGTGGCTTGCTGATCGGATGCTCCAGAGTGATAAGAAGGGAGTGCAAAGCCCGCTGCAGCAGCGGAACATGAGTGGACAGTCCGGCCCTAGGGGGCGGACCCTCATTATGTCCACCTGTGCAGGGTTATTCGTATTCATATACAAATACAGTGGGGTCTCTACTTAAGAACTTAATCCGTATTGGAAGGTGGTTCTCAAGTTGAAAAGTTCTTATGTTGAATCTGCATTTCCCATAGGAACGCATTGAAAACCGTTTAATCCGTATCTGCTCTTTTCCATCCATAGAAACTACAGTGGAACCTCTACTTAAGAACTTAATCCATTTTGGAATGGTGTTCTTAAGTTGAAACGTTCTTAAGTTGAAGCAAAATTTCCCATAGGAATGGACTGAAAACCAATTAATACATTCTGGCTCTTTCTTTGTTATGTAGAGGTGCGTTCGTACATTGAAGCATTAGTTCCCATAGGAACTAATGCAAAGCTGGTTAATACGTACTCTACCACTAGGGGGAGAATTTTTTTTTAAACCTAAGAGGACCTAAGGTTAAAAAAAGAGCAGGAAAGGTTTTTTTCCTGTTCTTATCTTGGATTTCTGTTCTCAAGTAGAAGCAAAATGTAGCAAATAGAGCTGTTCTTAAGTTGGATTGTTCTTAAGTAGAGACGTTCTTAAGTAGAGACCCCACTGTACCCCCTTCCCTAGTTGTGATGGTGAAGCTCCACCTCTTAAACTTTATCAGGCCCATGACAACCCCAACAAAGTTTGGAAGAGATACTGCTCCAGCCCATTTTACACTGTTCATCCTTGCTTAATTTCTGTTCCTATGGGATTCACCTTGCCTGTAAATTATCTGCCTTAGCCCTGCGAAAAACATTCTGTTGTAGAAATACTTCCCTCAGTTTTAATATTTTCAATGCTGTTACCTTACAGATACTGTATTTGCCAGTGGTAGAACTTCAGACTACTTGCTTTTGGGAAACACGGTATATACAGTAAGTGCTACTAATGTTATACCAAGTTGATTTGCTTGATTTTTTAGTGGTCTAATAAAGATACCACCTGATCTTGCATTTGTATTGTTTTGAAAGAAAACATAGCCTTTTTAAATACCAATTTGTGAACATTAGTGAACATTATTGACTTTAGCTGCATAGTGTGGACCATCTACATGTTACCCTATGACATCAGACACTAGCACACAGTTGTTTCCAATAAAAGCAAGAACAGAATCCTATACAGATGCCTGTATAGATGCTTGTGCAGATTCTGTGACTTCCTGTTGAATTGATTCTTGAATGTAATTTTCTTATTAAATAATTTTGTGGATTTTTTGCAACATGTTTTCTGTGTTCCTTTGCAAAATGGTTCATTATCTCACATGAAAATTATTGGAGAGTTTGATTAATTCCTTTTACAGTTAGTAGTGTATCAGGTAGAAACAACAACTGCACAGAGAAAGCATGACAGAGTAGCTTAAATCTCAATCGCCCACCCTTTTCACAGTGACTAGCACTTTATATGTTAAAAATCATTCTGGGAACAGTTGAAAGTAGAAAAAAGGTTTCTTTACTCACTGTTACTGTCTATAGTTACAATTTGTACAAAAATAGGAAAGTCAGAGACTCCACATATAGAAGAGGTTGCCAAGTTATTTGTATCTTGTCTATAGCAGTTTAAATTTATATGAATGTCAACTATCCAAATGCTAAGTTGTATGGAATGATATTTAATGTAAAAATATTTCCTTTATTTTCCGAGCTTCTTTTTTCACTCAGAACCTAAAATATTCTATCTTGTAATTTTTCTCTTTTTTTCAGTTCGTGGTAATAACTGTATGTTTAAAAGCTGGGTTAGAGACATCCTATTGGACTTTGGTAAGAAATGCTTTCAAAATAGTTCATATTATAAATTAATTATAATTATTTTGGAGAATATCAACCTTTATAATAAGTAGTCAGTATTTATTCAGATTTTTCTGTGAAAACAGTTCCTAACAAGTAAAAAAATTCCAGCAAAGTCTAAGAAAAGGAGAAGAAAGAATGGGAGAGAACAAGGATTAGGAACCAAATATCCTCACTATAATACAATTATTTTTGTAATGCCTAAATCATTTCTGTGCCATATTACAAACTGCTTTTTTGAAAAGAACGAACAAATCTAAAGTGCCTTCAGGCACCACAGAAATTTGGATAATATGTTACTGTAACCGAAATTAATAACATCTTGATAACAGAAAATGGGAGCTATTTTTGGAAAATATTCTTTAATAAGAAAGACGCTCACATAATCACCACCCTCTGTAACTTTGTACTCACACACAACTATTTCACTTTTGACAATTAAAACCTACCTCTAGATTAATGGAACCGCAATGGGGATGCACGTGGCTCCACAATATGCAAACATATTGATGGCTGATCTTGAACAACACTTCCTCAACTACTGCACCCAACAACCACTTCTCTATTTGAGGTACATTGATGACATTTTTTCTGATATGGTCCCATGGAAAAGAATCCCTAGAAAAAGTCCACCATGATTTCAGTAACTTTCACCCAAACATCAACATCGCCTGGGAACAATCTATGCAACAGGTGCATTTTCCAGACACTATTGTTGAAGTGACCACTTCTGACAGTTTCCGTCTGCAATACTCCATCCAAAGAGGCATCATTCTGAGACAACCTCAAAAAGAGCCCTCAAAGTAAGAAAGATCAGGTGACAAACATTGACACTATGCCTTTGAATCCAACTCGGCACTGCCTCAAACCAAAGATGCAACATCAAGAAAAGGTAGAAATGGAACTGCACTAACCAGAATGACTTCTCTTCAGTAATCTCAGAAATAGCACAGTAAGGATGGTATCCTTGAGAAATATCAAGTGACAGCTCTCATTCTTATGATTCTGAGTTAGATAATGGACTTTCAGATGAGTCACAGTTCTTTGTATATGAGGGATATGAATCCTCTCTCCCTCCTGAAGATTTCAGAAACTACTCAGATCTCATAATCAGGGTGGCCCAATCTCTGAAATCAAAAATTCAACAGCCACCCCCACCAAGGTTGGATCCTGCTTACAATCCAATTAATAAAATGGCAGCTGCTCCTGTCCATATTGGTATGCTCCCTTCATTTTTGGGTCATGTTAAAGAGTTGTGGCAGAAGGTTTCCACTTTGCCACCAACTTCAAGACAAATCAAGAACCTCTACAAAATAAATGATAATGAAGCCACCCACAGCCCAGCTCCATTATTGTTGAGGCTTCCTGGACCAGTTCAAAACGTTACCATAATACAGCCTCAACCAATAGGAAAGGGTGTGAAATGTACATAATAAGTTGGAGGATCTATTCCACTGCTGCCCTAGGGATAAGTACAAAACTATGAAGCAGTGATGGGTACGTATCATAGATTCATTTGGGATAACATCCAGCCACTTCTTAACAGCCTGCCAGAAGATAAAAAGATTCTGGCTTTGACCATCAAGAGGCTATGTCCTTTGCAACCCAAGAGATGCATGCCATCCAACACACCATTACACCATGAAGAATGTGGCAGCAATGGTAGCACTGAGACGTTGTGCCTGGTTGAGGTCGGCAGAAATATCTGATGGTTTGAGATCCTGAATAGAGAACTTGCCATTTGACAGTGAGGGCTTCTTTAATGACAAAGCCAATGACATGACGGGCAATCTCTATAAGAAAAGGAACATAGATGAGTTATACTGACCTTACTGAAGATGCCCTTACTTTTCTTCTTCCAGCAGATATCTCTCAGAAAAACACAAACATTTTCATGCAACTTCTCAGAATTTCATGCAGCCTGCAGAAAAATTGAAATACAGATCCACCAATGTTTCAAAACAAGACAAGAAATCTAAGTAGCAACTTTGACTTCCCCCAACACTATTTAACTTTTATGTAGAATACGTTATGCAAAAGGCTGGACTGGATGAATCCCAAGCCAGAATTAAGATTGCCGGAAGAAATATCAACAACCTCAGATATGCAGATGATACCACTCTGATGGCAGAAAGTGAGGAGGAGTTAAAGAACCTTGTAATGAGGGTGAAAGAGGAGAGTGCCAAAAATGGTCTGAAGCTCAACATCCAAAAAACTAAGATCATGGCCACTGGCCCCATCACCTCCTGGCAAATACTGTACAAGGGAAAGATATGGAGGCAGTGACAGATTTTTCCTTCTTGGGCTGATCACTGCAGATGGTGACAGCAGCCATGAAATTAAAAGACGCCTGCTTCTTGGGAGGAAAGCGATGACAAACCTTGACAGCATCTTAAAAAGCAGAGACATCATCTTGCTAACAAAAGTCTGCATAGTCAAAACGATGGTTTTTCCAGTAGCGATGTATGGAAGTGAGAGCTGGACCATAAAGAAGGCTGACCGCCGAAGAATTGATGCTTTTGAATTTGTGGTGCTGGAGGAGACTCTTGAGAGTCCCCTGGACTGCAAGGAGAACAAACCTGTCCATTCTAAAGGAAATAAACCCTGAGTGCTCACTGGAAGGACAGATCCTGAAGCTGAGGCTCCAATATTTCACTGTCTCATGAGAAGAGAAGACTCCCTGGAAAAGACCCTGTATGTCGAGAAAGTGTGGACGAGATGGCTGGATAGTGTCATTGAAGCTACCAACATGAATTTGACCAAACTCCGGGAGGCAGTGGAAGACAGGAGGGCCCGGCGTGCTCTGGTCCATGGGGTCACTGAGAGTCGGACATGACTTAACGACTAATCAACAACAACACTATTTCAAGTTGTGGAAGAAGAGACAACCATGCACCTCCAGAAGGATGTCATTCAAAAGGTCCCTCTTGAGTCCCTAGAGGATGGTTTCTACTCCCATTACTTTTGAGTCCCCGAAAAGGAGGGGGCCTGAGATCTATCCTAGACCTGAGGGATGTAAGCTCATACATAGACACCAAGAATGGTACCACTAGAAACAGGATAGTGGCATTAGAAACAATCTTACCACTTCTCAAAAAGAGGGGCTAGTTTGCTGGGGTAGACACTTATTTCCATATCACCATCCATCCTGATCACCCGCATTTTCTATGCTTTGCTCTGGATGACAAGACAAACAAAAGAAACTGTAATTCAGCTACTCAATGGAGATGGAGGAATGATAACAGATGACAAAGAAATGCTCAATTCCTATGTTACCTCAACCTTTTCCCAAAGGACAGACTATGACCCTCCAGACAAATGAGAAGTGCAAGTGTAGGAGACAGGATTGCAGCTGGAGATTGATAAACCAAAGGTCAAGGAATATCTTAATGCCTTGAACAAGATCAGATCTCCAGGACTGGATGAACTCTATCCAAGAGTATTGAAGGAACTGGCTGAAGAACTTTTAGAACCACTGTCCATTATTTTTTTGAAATCATGGGAAATGGGTGAAGTGCCAGATGATTGGAGGAGGGCGAATGTTGTCCCTATCTTCAAAAAAGGAGAAACCTGGGAACTACAGATCAGTCAGCCTGACATCAATCCCAGGTAAAATGTTGTAACAGATTATGAAGCAGTCACTATGCGGGCACCTAAATAACAGTCCAGTAATAACTAGAGGCCCACATGGATTTATCAAAAACAAATCCTTCCAGACTAATCTGATCTCAGTTTTTTTAATCAGGTGACCTCCCTAATAGACAGAGAGAATGCTGTAGACATAATATATCTTTAAGTCAGCAAAGCTTTTGATAAAGTGCCCATGTTATTCTGATTACCAAGATAACTAGGGGTGGGCTAGATAAAACAACTGTCAGATGGATATACAGTTGGCTATAGAATCATACTCAAAGGGTAATGATGATTGGTCCCTTCTCAAACTGGGAGAGGTAACAAGTGGGGTACCCCAGGGCTCAATCCTGGGCCCATTGCTCTTCAACATTCTTACTAACTGAACTGAATCAGGGATGCAGGGAATGTTAATCAGATTTGCAGATGACACAAAATTGGGTGGAATAACTAACACCCTGGAAGACAAAACAAAATTCAAAATGATCTACAGTGGTGCCTCAACTTACGACCATCCCTACTTACGACCAATTCGACTTACAAACAGCTCGGGTAGCAAAATTTTGCTTCTACTTGCAACCGGAGCTTACACTTATGAACAAAAAAAGGCGGGAAATTCAAATTTCTAACTGTAGATGGCAATAAGGTTGCTTCTTTGTAGCTCTTTCACCCCGGCAGTTAGTGAGTGTGTGATCCAAGAAGGCTGCCTGCTAAGGTATGGTGCTGCTTTGTGCTTTTTAAAAATCATTTCTGGTATTTTTGCAGTGTGGTTTTTGGCTGGGGGTTATGTTTCTGTGCTGTAATGGGTCTCGGGGAGTTGTTTGTTTTTTGGCTTCCCCCCCCATTTCCGATGGGGGGGTTGGTTGCTTTGGGGTTTTTTCCCATTTTTGATGTGTCTTGCATGCTTCCGTTGCTTTTTGCTTTGTTCTCTTTGCATTTCTGATCTGCTCCCTTTGATTTCTGTGCATTTCCAACCTGGCCCCTTTGTTCTCTCTACATTTTCTATCTGGTCCGTTTGTTTTCTTTGCTTTTGCAATGGGTCCTGTATGCTTCCCTTGCTTTTTCCTTTGCTTTCTGTGCATTTCCAACCTTGTCCCTTCATTCTCTGTGCATTTCCAATCTGCTCCGTTTGTTTTCTGTGCTTTTGCAATTGGTCCTGCATGCTTCCCTTGCTTTTTCCTTTGCTTCCTGTGCATTCAGACCTTGTCCATTTGTTCTCTGTGCATTTCCAATCTGCTCCGTTTGTTTTCTGTGCTTTTGCAATGGGTCCTGCATGTTTCCTTGCTTTTCTTTCTCCTCTCCCCTTCGGCCAGAAGGGATTAATCATGTGTCCAATAAGTCTTTCAGTGATTTTTTTTTTTTGTGATTGTTTTCTTTGGCCAGAACAGATTAATTGCATTTCAGTGGATTTCAGTGGGAAATGGTGCTTCTACTTATGACAATTTCAAGTTACAACCATCATTCCGGAACAGATTATGGTCATACGTCAAGTCACCGCTGTACATAGGCTTGAGCACTGCGCTGAAAACACACAGTTACAAGATGGGGGATGCTTGGCTCAGCAATGCTATGAGTGAGAAGGATCTTAGAATCACCGTAGATTACTGCATGTGAGCCAACAGTGTGATGTGGCTATAAAAAAGGCAAATGCTATTTTAGGCTGCATTAACAGAAATATAGTCTCCCAATCCTGTGCTGTATTAGTTCCCCTCTATTTGGAACTAGTTAGGCCTCCTCTTGAGTACTGTGTCGTGTTCTGGACACTGCAGTTCAAGAAGGATGCGGATGTGAGCAAGAAGATAAGAAAGGAAAGAAGAATGAGAGTGAGCTGTCCCCTCAAATGTCTGTAGAGGAAGAAAAAAGTAGAGAAGTTGAAAGGGAAGATGTAGCGAAAGTTATAACAAAGATGAAAGAGTTAAAGGTGGGAAAAGAGGAGGAGGAGGAGTCAGGAAAGAGGGAGAGAAAAGGGGTAGACGTGTTCTTAATGATGGAAGAGGGGGAGGAATCGAGAGAGACGAGGAAGTTAGTGGTGTTAGAGGAGGAATGGCTGGAAGTAGAAGGGTAAATCAGGGTGTTCAAGATTCCACAAAAGGGAACAGGTTATGAGGGTTGAGACCATAAAGAGATAGAGAAAAGGGGAGATGAAGGTAAACCCATTATCGAAGGATTGGGACCAGAGGAATGGACGGTTTTAGTATACCCTCGAGGACAGGGTCTTCGGAAGAGGGTGATTCATCCAGGACCGGTTGGACCACATGAGAAACCGCCAGAAGGAGAATGTGGCATCCCTGCTGCAGGACAATTTGCGCAGTGCGGAGTGGATGTCTGAGAAGGCCAACAGTTCAGGCAATCTTTCTGTTAAGAAAGAACAATTATGAAGAGACCTTGCCCTTGTTGTGGGCTGACTTACTTGTTAATGTTGAACCTTTTGAACCTATTGAAGTTGTAGTAGAGAAACCCACTAGTTTTGTTAATAAAGAATCGCTTAAAGAATCTCCGCTCCTGTTGTTTCCCGCCAAAAACAAGGAACTGCCAGACACTGACAAAGAACCCTATCACAGCTGACAAACTGGAATAAGTTCAGAGAAGGGCAACAAGGATAATCAGAGGGCTGGAAATCTTTGTCGAAAGGCTCAAAGAGCTGTTTAACTTTGAGAAAAGAAGACTGAAGGCAGATATGATGGCACTTTCCAAATGCTTGAAAGGCTGTCATACAGAGGAGCAGGATCTGTTCTCAGTCATACCCAAATGCAACACACACAACAATGGGCTTAAGTTGCAGGAAGCCAGATTTTGGTTGAATATCAGGAAAAACTTTGTAACTGTTATAACTGTACGGCAGTGTAATCAATTACCTCAAGAGGAGGTGAGTGCTCTAACACTGGAGGCATTCAAGAGAAATTTAGACAACCATCTAACAAATATCCTTTGATTTGTATTCATGCATTGAGCAGGGGGTTGGACTCAGTGGTCTTATAGGCCTCTTCCAACGTCATTACTCTATTATTGTATGATTTACTAATTCAATGCGCTTCCTTTCAGTTTATCAATAGCATCCAGAGTCTTTACTAAGTGTATGGCACCAGTCTCAGCAGTACCTCAAAATCTGTGATATAACTGTATTCCAATATATAGACAACTGGTTGATTGTGGGAGATTAGAAGAGCAAGATGGAAACAATGTGGTTTTTACACTACGTCTGTTATTGGATTTTAGTCTTTGGGTAAATCTTACTAGATAACTGAATTTGTGTTTTTCATTCTTTCTTGCTTTCCAGTTCAGTCATGTAGCCATTTGGGGCAGCATTGCACTATGGATAGTATTTTTTGGAATCTACTCTTCTTTGTGGCCTCTTATTCCTATCGCACCTGATATGTCTGGAGAGGTATAGTTTACCTTTTAAGTAATCTCCAAATCTGTGTATAAAATATACTAGTTTTTGTTTGGGATATTAAGGTAGTATAATGGATAGAGTGACAGACTAGGACTCTGGAGACCAGGGTCCAAATCCCCACTCAACTATGGAAACTCACTGGGGGAGTGGCACTGGTAAAACCATTCCTGAAAGATCTCACTTACCTTGAAAGCCCTGTTAGGTTCACTATTAAGTCTTCTGACTTCACGGCACAGAACATACATGCAGTAACCACTACTTTGAAGACATTCAAGAAATACCAGCAGGTGTAGAATGTGCCACCTGGTATTGTTCTGGGCCAGGCAATCAGTTCATGTGATGCCTATGCAGCAACACTTGAACTACTTGCCAATAGATTTCTGATTTTAACCTTACAGATTTAAATGGACAAAATGACAGTGGTTGATTAGTAAAAGAATAGGCTGTGACTAATTTCAATTATCAACCTACAAGGTAGTAATAGCATTGTTGACACAAGTGGCAAACTTGGGAATCAATGTACGATTTCCAACTTGATAGTGATTTAAGAAATCTTGATTGATATTCAGTCATTTTAAGTGGGTCTTCAGCATCTGTATATACTTAGGTGTTTCTCTGAACTCTGATTCTGCACTGTTTTGCTTTGTTTTTTCCCTAAATGCTCACAGTCCAGGAAAAATAGCAGATTATCCTACCCCTTTGAGTTAATTTGTTATAAACTATATTTATTTAATTATTTATTTAATTTGTATAGTGCCCCATTAATGAACACACACTCATCTAGGTGGTTTATAGAATAAAACACAAAACCTGTGAGCCCCCACCCACCAATTCCACCCTCCTATATCAACACAGTCAATATGGCAACATATTAACTCAAACACAGTAGAAAAGACCTACATTTAAAAATTCATATCAACAGCATTTGGGGATACATTCTTTAAGGCTGCTTTATATAATGCTATCTTAACTGATTTCCTAAATACCAGGAGGGACAGAACCTGGTGCACCCTAGTTGGAAGCTTGTTCCACAGAATGGGGGCCACCACCATATGACATGATGGTCACCCTTGAAAAGAACTATCTTGTCTATTAATAAAAGGATATTGCCATTGGAGCTATACTGAATAGAGTGAAGCAAGTTATATTATGCTTTACGGGGGGGGGGGAGAATATTCTCATTAACATGGTAACAGGGTCCACACATTTAGCATGGACTTACTTCATAAAATCTATTGTCACGAAGGCTTTTAAGAGTTTCAGTCAGATTTGGGAAATCACATATTTTAATACACAAATAAAGTGATTCTTTTCTAACTAGTGGTGGAGTATGGAGTTCAGTGCTGGTAAGGAAATAAACAGTATGCCCAAAATTTGCAGTATGTAGATTGTGACATTGTTCTGAGTGTAGGAAGTTCCTCTTTAACCACTCTGACACACTACCCAGCAGTCCAGATGGTCCACAGATAGCCTCTTCTGCTCACTACCATTCATAGTTGTTGAAAAACAGCCATGGAAATTGGTTTTGTATTTGGATGAGTAATGGTTAACTGTAGAGATGGACATATTTGTATTTGTTTCAAAATATGAATATCCCCATCCCAGCTGCATCTAATGCGGGTCCAGCCCCCAAAATTGGCCTGTCCGCTCACATGTCCCGGTGCCACCAGCATCCCAAACTTCCCACCAATTGCAGAAGTCGCTCCTCCATCTCCCTGCTCAGCTAGCCACTCAGCAGCCATGCAGGGAGACTTGTCCTCCCGCCCCTTGCCTGGAGTGGCCAAACAAACAGGGAGGTGGAGGAGCGACTTCCACAATTGACGGGAAGAGCAGGATGCTGGTGGCACCAGAGTGTGTGAGTGGACAGGTCAGCTCCATAGGCTGGACTCACATTAGATGCGGCTGGGACGGGGATATTCGTATTTGTTTATGAATACGAATATCCCCATCTCCAATTAACTGATGAAAGAAGGAGTCACTTTCTGAGATTTTTGCCTTGTGTGGTGTCAGTTTGTGAATGATAGTGAGCAGAAGAAGATATCCTGTATACTATCTTGATTGCTGCCATTGGCATTGTAAACATTCAAGCTGCCCTCTGTTGTGTAAAGCTTGGCATTATTTTTCTTCTGGCAACATGGGCACAATAATGTGCAGCAATAGCAGGCCATTTCTTGGTGTTTTGAATCATGGATACAGAAGCACATTATCCCGTATTCATAAACATGAAGATTTTTTAAGAACTAAATATGCAATATAAGTATAATGTGTAACATAACACGTAATGCACTGCAATGTGGCCAGCCCAGATCGTGCATTAAAGTGCCCCTATTTATTATACACTGACAGACAGTCTGTGCTGATACTGCTTGGTTTCATGCAAATAGTAAATTAGCATACATGGAAGTCAGCAGAGTAGGAACTTGTGCAACCTAACAGGAAAAAATGAATATGTTCACAATATAACTGTGTGTGTAGATATACTTGAATATGCATAATTAGGCATCTCCCTTTTCCAAAACAAATCAAATTTATGACACTGGGGAAGGAAAATCTGAAACAAAACCAAAAAGACTTATCTCATCAAGCAAAGGCCTGGCTTTTCAGACAGGCTTTTAAGCAATAAATGGGATTTCAAGAATACTGTAGTTACTGAATTTTGAGATTTCTATTTTTTAAAAGTTCTTTAAATAGTTTTTAATTTGTGGTTTTAATAATGATAATTATTTGCCTCTAACATGATTTTTATAGCATTCTAAAATTGTGATTGTTCTATAGTTTAAATGGTTGTGAGCTGCCTTGGATCCCCTGTGTGGATGGATGAATGGATGGATGGATAGACAGACAGACAGACAGATAAAAATACATGCTAGCATCATAAAAATATAAAGAGTATGTGAACATAATTGCTGAGATAAATTCTAGAACTGAATTTTCAGCTATTGTATAGCTACATTTAAATTATTTTCTCATGCTAAAAATATGTGATGGTTATTTTCCGGAATTGTGATAGTTATTTTGATGTTGTTAATTGATGCCTCTCGGCTTTTGTTGGTTTTTTGCTTCTGAGTAGCCTTTTCTACTCAGGACACAGCTAAGAGGGACATTTTGCTCACACAGCTTTCAACATTTAAAAAATTCTGGAAATGTAGGGGAGCCTCTCTCTCTCTCTGTCTCTCTGTCTCTCTCTCTTTCTGTGATACTAATAATAGGAATTTGTATTTTTTCCACTCTGGCTATATACAACTGGAAGCCACTTTTGTAGCAGATTCTGAGTGGTTTCACAAGGGCAAAAGGAGGTAGGGTGAAGACTTGGCGTAAACTGCAGATTTCACAAATTAGGAGAAGTTTGTAAATCACAAACAAAGGTAGACAAAATTCATTCCCAGAACTGTCTCCTGTTTGCACCATTGTCTAAAATGGATCAGTTTGCCATTTCCCAGCTGACCTGCCTAAGTGCAGAGAGATGTGAAAGTTTAGAGACAAAAAATGAGCAAGAAGCGAGCTGAGCTTTTGGGCACAAAAAGGAAGGAAATACCTCAGTGGGATTTTATTTTTCTCCCTCTTCATCCAAATATACAAAGAGCCCTTCTGTCTTCAGTACGAATGTCGGCTTTAAATCTTTTAGTTTTGGATTAACTCTGCAAAAGAAAAAAAAATCTGACAGCCTTTCAAATATGATGCAGAAAAACTTTCTTTCCCTCAATTCATGTTGCTCATTTGTAAAGCCAAAGGCTGGATTGACTGAATGGTAGGCGGCAGTTGTTCCTTCATTCATAGTTAGCATTACAATGGTCAGAATTAACATCCTAAGACCTACATTATAACTTCTGCTGTTTCACCAAGGAACATTTAATAGAGAGTGGCTTACATAAGGATGGCTCTTTGCTCTGATACCTTAACCTTAAATGTCGTTAAGAATAATCTTAAACAGAAAAAGTGCTATTTAAATGAAATCTAGCTCCTTGTTGGTCTGTATTCTTTTAAAATTCATTCATCAAATTTGTTTAGATCAGTTGTTATAAAGTTTTATCACATGTTTTTAGCCATGAGTAGTACCTTTAAGAACTGGTCCTGTCATCCATCATGACAAGGTCATGTTTCCATTATAACATTATTTATAGTCTAAAGTGTTGTTGTTTTCAAACTTCACCTATAGATTCAGTTACCTGATTTTCTTTTCTGGCTTCAGCTTCCCCTGGCTTGCCTTTGCAAAATGTTCCAAAGGATATCTCATTGTTCTGTATTGATTTCTTCTAGGCAAGGGTGCTACAGTTGAACTAAATTAGCAGCTTGCTTATGTCAGCTGGAAATTCTTCTTGTCCACAGAAACTGTATTATCTAATGACTTCATACACTGTTGCCATTCAGAAGATGTTTTTTAAAACAATATTCTGCATACAAATCTTCTGTTGCTTCTGTGGATTGGGATGTATATGTTCAAAACTCAAGATAAAACAGTACATTCATTCATTCATTCATTCATTCATTCATTCATTCATTCATTTATTTATTCAACTTATATGCCACCCACTCTACCCCTTAAATAACTTATTTAAAGCATTTGTTTATTGCAGGATTCTAAAAGCATTCAGCAGATTGATATTATTTTATAAACATATTTTAAAAGCAGATATAGGCATTCTCTAAATTTTGTATTTAAAAAAAAATTTGTATTTAAAAAAAATACGAAAGGTCCCTTGGAAATGTACAATTTACGAGCTTATTTGACCTCAACAAAGATGGAGCTAATGAAGCTTAACTTGGGAGGGAATTCCACAATCCAGATGCTGCTACAAGGAAACTCTTGTAGTATGCATCCACTAACTCTAGCCTCCTGGAGTGATAGAATCTGCAATAGAATTCTGAAGATTTCAAACTATGGTTTCTCTTGCCCCAGGCTATTTAGGGCTTTCTAGATCAAAATCAGCACTTTGAACTTCCTTTTGAGACAAACTAGACACCAGTAACATTGGTTCAAGGCAAGTGTTACATGGCCACTGCATTTTGCAATAGTTTTGAGCTTTCAAACACTTTCCAGAAGCACTTACCAACAATTTCATTTTTTAAAATCACTGCTGATTTTGAAAACAGTTATAAGTAACTCCATGTCATCTTGAAACATGATATTAGTACACCTTTTCAACAATTGAACTTGATGTGAGTTCTGGTACTTGCTCTTTCACCCATCTGTAGCTAATAGGACTAGGAGATCTGGTTCTATTTGGTTTGGGCCATAGATCCCTTGTGTACATGAAATTCCTAAGAAGGTGTCATTTGTAACCCTTTGCCTCTGAAGACAAATATGAACTCTAGCTTTAGTGGCTGTGGTACTTCCATGTTATCTGTCATCTTTTGTAGAAAGCAAGGAAAGCATTATGAAATCTAAAAGGGCACTTCCATTCAACTGACTATGCTTTCAACAGTCTCCCAGATGGGGTGAAAGAGAACAGAGAGGACTATGTGTGTGGAAAGCCATTGTGAGCAAAACATTCAAAGGAGAAACAAACATATACTCATACCAATACATTTACTAGTTGTCAGTAATTCTTTTGCAGTTGGCAAATTTTTGTGGATCAGCATATTTCAATCATGTTATCTAACCCCATTTCAAATGTTTCATAGGCATTTTCTGTGAATAACACCTTTATTTAAATCCCCATAGGCAGCCATGTTGTTCAGCTCTGGTGTATTCTGGATGGGTTTGTTAAGTATTCCTTTGACAGCTTTGATCTTCGATATAATCTATAAAGTGTAAGTATAATATTGCTAATTCAGACACTCTGAAAGAATTCAATGTGTTAAAGAGTCTTAGTTGGTGAACTAAGACTCTTTGGTTTACTAAATAATGACCTGCCTTTGTAGATATTAAAATAATAATGCAAATTAATTTTAAAATCTTTTAAAATGCACAATTTTAATATAAAACTTCTTTAATTACCTGTTAATATGAAATGCTAAAGTAAAATAAGGATGTCATATAGTTATGTAGTAGCCTTTAAAGTGTATATATAGATATAACTGTTCAGTTGCTGTTTTAGTTTCTCATAAATTAAAGAGTTTGAGCTTCAGAGTGAATTATCCAAAATCATTTTTCATTGCAGAATTAAGAGAGCAGCATTTAAAACACTAGTTGATGAAGTTCAAGAGTTGGAAGCTAAATCTCAAGATCCAGGAGCTGTTCTTCATGGGAAAAGGTATTATTATACCAGTGAAAAATTCCTGCCATTGAGCAGTTAGAACTGTCCAGTACAGCCATTTAACAAGAAAAACTTACAGTTAGGAAGCTTGGAAACATCTTGCTGTGTTTGGCTTGACCTCACCTGAAAGCAAGTTATTTGCAAAAGTTTCTTCTCCTGGAGTTAATGTTTTTTTCTGAAACGATATACATACAATTTTAGCTGTCTCTTGAAGATGAAACCATGTTATCCTAATACAAAATTTTAAAATTCCATGCATTGTTTTTACTTAGAATGGCCAACATCCAAGAAGCTATAACACAGGCTCTGTATCCGCAAAGACACTTTAGGCTTAGGTTTCCAAAATAGCCTTTTTCCCATTGCAAAGGGAAAAAACTTTTGAAACTAGAGTGCCCATCAAAAGCAAATTATTACAGATACATGGGAGTCAAAAATATAGTCAAAAAAGCAAAGGTTTACTTTAAAGGATATGGAAAAATATAGAAGAACAGGATCTGGATCTTTGCAGGACACATAGCTAAGAACTCTGTGTTTGACAACCAAATATGATTAAATACAACATAAAATTTGCCATAAAATGAAAGTCAAGTGCTTTCCGTGTTTTCCTACTAATATTCTCTGAAAAGCAATTGCATGGCTTGTTTGAAAGCTAAACTTCAGATTAATTAGTTATATGAATAAATGTGTATTTTGCCTGTAATACACATATTGTATATCCATTGTCATAAGATTTCTACCTTGGTAATAAATTTACCCAGAGTGAGTTCTCACATTAGTTTTGTTTTAAATGACATGGATCTCATCAGGCATAAAGTGAAACCAATTTTGAGTAATCCCCCCCCCCACAACTCTCTCAAATCTGCTTGAGAAGGCACACTAGGGAAGAAAGAGCAAAAAACTAATTCTCTTCCCATTCAGTTGCCCGCAGCCTACTGTTAGCATCCATCTTGGAAGATAACATTTGCTGGTTGATACCTTTTGTTTGTTTGTTTAACTTGCCAGAACTGAATATTATTTCAGATAATAGTATATTTAACCCTTTTAAAACTTCTTCTAGCTTAACTGAAAGAGCCCAGCTACTGAAAAATGTATTTAAGAAGAACCATGTCAACTTGTACCGCTCTGAATCCCTGCAACAAAATTTACTTCGTAAGTATTTGGAGACCTGCAAATTCCTTGCTTTTAAAAAGAAAGCAATATCTATAGTGCTTCCAGATATTTTAGAGATGGAAAGCTGTATAGAAATTTATTAAATATATACAGAGGTAGGGAAGGCAGGAAGGAAGGAGGCAATACACCATCAGGTTGAACACCTTCTCCCTGAGCCAAGATCATATGTATGTATACTACTGGAACTTTTCCCTCTCATATTGCACTGATTATTGATTGTAATATTTATTATTTGTATAACAGATTTTTTTCTCCTTTCATTCCTTTTAAATGTTGGGTACTTAGCAAAGTGTTAAGTACAGTACTTAGCAAAAATATTTCTTAGTATTTCAGTATTTAAACTGAGTAATCATTTTATATGTTGAAATAATTTAAATAAATCTGGGATTGTAGTGTTTCTTATTTAATTATGATTTTATACTTGCAGATGGCTATGCTTTCTCTCAAGATGAAAATGGGATTGTTTCACAGTCTGAAGTTATAAGAGCCTATGATACTACAAAGCAAAGACCTGATGAATGGTGAAGGATGACAGTGTCACAGATCTATGTATATTTGCCATATTCAGGAAAACTGGTATATATTTTCTGGGAATGCTAATATGGTTCAGTAAGAGAGATTAAAGGAAGATGTATATTGCTGCTCTTATTCCCTGAAGTTTGAGTTCACATACTGAGTAGATGTAAGCACTGTGCTACTATACTGTAATACACCATCTCTCAATTTTTCAACAAGTATTCCTTGGATTTTGTAAAACCGAGCTTGAAATGTGAGACTTTTTTATCAGATTTTCCAGATGCTAATTGACAATGAAGCAGAATACATAATGTTCCTATGTGTATTGTTCCTATGCCGAGCCATATTACTCAGCATAGTATACATTGAGAACCATAGCCTTCTCAAGGGTTTACAGATAGTGAATTATTTAAAGTAATGAGCCTTTGATTTCAACAAGTGCTATATAACCATTTTAAGTGACAGGAGCTCTTGTGATGAAGTAAGATTTCAAAGCAAACATTTATATGGAATTGTGTCAAAGTAGCCTAAGAGGTTTGCCAAAGAACTTTCATAATTCTCATCCTACTGAGAATCATTTTCAGATATATTTTAAAAGATGGTTATGGCAAAGTCAAGCATGAACTCAAGATTGCTTGCTTGACACTCTGTACTTGAAAAGTTTTACAACAATGTGAACTTGCTACAGATTGCTTTTTATTGCATTTTTTTTCACATTTTGGTCACTTTCACTTTTGGCCTTATACAATATTTTCTTTCATTCATGTTTGTTCACTGCAACGTGTACATTTAGCACAGCAGCCATTTTCTATTTCAACAGTATGTATCTGGGACTAAAGACTTAAAAATACTGATTTGCCTTATATCCCTTCCTTATGCTTAAGAACCAGGATTTAGGGACACTTGCGCATAGAAATAACCTCCCTGTAAAGATGGCCCCCTTCCACCATATTCAAACTTGTGATTAATACATGCTTTTCTTATGACATTGATTAACTGTCAGGGCCATGCAAAGAGGAAAGGGTGGTGCCTTGATACATTTTACTTTCCCTCGGACAGCTGTAGACACAGAGATGAAGGAGCCAACCATGTTTTTGTTGTCCAAACATCATGCATAGACATAGTGCATGCATCCTCTGGGATTTTTTTGTTCACACAATACAACACTTTTTTTAATATATAAGATCCAAGACATTATTATGTAGTACACATAGAACATTGCTCTTAATGAACTAAGGAACAAGTGTTATTTGAAAACGCAGGTTTTTATTTATAGTTAGTTGCCAGAGCATGTTATATGCAAAGTAATTTACTCTGGTGGTTTTCCTAATTTAAAACAATGATAAAAAGGAGTCATTATCTCATACTCTGGTTATAGTTACAGTTTGCACTATAATGTAGTTGTATTCTTGCATTTCCACTTTTTATTTAAATTAGATAATGCTGAAGTTTAAGGAGTTGAAACTGTTGTGGGGGGCTTTTCATGTGTGTTTTCCTATATGTGCAAGAAGAGAAAGTAAACTAATTTTAAAAATTACATTTTTAATCAGTAATGTAATGCTACCCTCCTTACAAACAGAAATATGTTGTTCTAAAGCATGTTAATTTGTTAAAAACAATATGAGTTAATCTGATACAGAGCTGCTAATTAATTTGTACTCTGATTAAATTTTAAAAACCATTTCAGTTTGTCTATTTTAAAATAGATATTGATATTGAACATTACATCTTTGACTTGAATGCATGTACTACTATTTTTCCTGTCTAAAGAAAAGTGCAAATATTCAGATCAATGTAGTATTTGTGTGTAACTGTTCCCATGGAGGTCCAATTTAAAAAGTTGCATCTATTCATAGTGTCTTTTTTCCACTAGTAAATAGAAAATAAAACATAACAAAAACAGAAAAATTCATGCTTCCGATATCATAGCCAAAAATTGCCTTCACAAAAGCTACTTCAGGCATAGATAATGAACCAATGAACAAGGAAGGCCAACTCAGTTAACCTAAAGTACAATAAATAGGACATCTCCTTTATAAAATGTGGACTGTTCTCTAATATTATCCACAGGCCAGATCCACTTTACAAATTTCCCAAATGAATAATTAAAATTATCATTATATTCATAAAACAACATACAATAGTGCATATTCCTTATGATTACTTATATGAACAAAAACGGCACATAACAGACATTCATTTTAACTCTCTTCTTGCTATTTGAGCACTTCCTAGTATTTTGTCTTGATCACTGGATTTTAAACTACCAGATTATGTATTTTATTACACTTTTCTTTGTAAGATCTCTCACACCTGTGTTCTCCATGTCCTAGATTTAATATTGGCTAAAAGCTGTCGATATTAGGAAATGTGGTTTTTATAAAAATAATGCAATTGTGTATTTGCACTGTCTTTGTTTAAAACTTCTCTGACATTCATATCCAATTTAAATACTTGAGTTTTAAAGAACTTATGCCCATTAAATTAGATCTACTCATACAAAAGCCAGGACAGACTTAGAAAGAAAGGTTCTGTACAAATTCAGTTTCAGGATAAAAGGATATAAATGATGTATTATACAGTATAGGCTGAAATCCTGTTCCTTAGTACAATAATTTCATAACCTGCAGTTTGTTTCCAGCCAACAAATAAAAAGTCCCCGTCACAATTTTCAGGAGTCCTTGTGCAGCCCACTGGCTTGATGCATGTGCTCATACTCCCAACAATCATGACTGACTTTTTATTCGCTGGTTAGGAACAGATTGAAAATTACTAATTTTCCTTTATTACGCAACAGGATTTCATTCATTTTTAGGGATATATATATAATTTTAAAGTACCATATTTTACTCAAATTATAGCAAATAAATGTAAAATACTGGTTTTGAAATTTTAAAAATGTATTTTTCTTTTAATCAAATTCATAAGGGAAGCTATATGTTTTGTATGAATTAAGTGTATTGCAAAACAATTTCAAGTTAATTTTATAACTGATTCATCGATTGAATGAAAATGGTGGCATTCAATTGAAAAAAAACCTCCACAACTCTGTATATTTTTAATTCCTTGGGAGAATGTAATAACCAGAACATCTGTCAATTGGAAACACTTTGAGAAGCCATAAGTGGACTTGTTTTTCTTAGTGTTAGATTTATTTTTGCAAACAAATGTTAACAAATTTATAGTTAAAACATTCTAGTTGTATAAAAATAGAAGAGATATTTAAAGAAATGTAATAAAGTCTCACACGGGAAGACATCTTTTTTCGTCATTTAATTACTTGCTAGAGAATTGGGCTGTCTATTTAGCTCCCCTTTTTCTACTTACCTATATATTATGCAAAAACAGTTGTCATTTGGTCAGTTTTATCAATCTGTCTGCATGAGTTAGTGTATCACAGTGTGAATCTGAACTGATGCATGCTTATGCTGTAAAACTTCCTTTTCCTTCATCTGAAACAAACTATTTGTTTGGTAAGCAAAAGTAAATGTTTGGTAAACAACTGAGCGGCCATCTTCATTTTATTAGTGTTGAATGTAAATTCAGAAAATCATATGTGTGTTGGTTGATGTAGATAACATTACAAAATGTGTGCAAGATCCAGTAAACTAATTGGACTACTCAGTCTCTAGAACTACAGTGAGATTTGGCAGATTTGCAGTGTCCGTGGTTTTATAGATTATTTCAGCACAGATTTTTGCATCCATTCAATATTTTGCAGCTGCCAAAAGTGTGACCCCAATGTGTACAAGTAAAATCATGTTTCAGTGTTTTTCTTGTTCTATGATTGAAGCCATATGCATTGATACTAGTTTTCTACTGCAGTTCAATTTCCTTGCTGTCATGAAGGGCAAGTGCTTTCTAAAAGTTGAGATTTCATTTAAATAACATAGAATTTCCAGCTTCACTGAACCATTACTACTGAAACAAGTATGGAAATTGTGAAGCTGCATGAATGGAAAGATTTTGATTCTGTGTTTTATGGTAGTTTTCCTCAGGTTTAGTTTCAAGTGGATGTTAAATGCACTGTTTTATAACGTTATTAAATTTTATTAATATATTCCTCTCAATGCAGTGTTACATGTCATTGGGCATTTTGTGGATGTGCATGTTTTGACCTGAAAATTTTAAATGTTTTGTCTAATTGTTCACAAAATAAACATTGCTGTTAAAACAATTCTGTCCAGAGCTTAAATGCAACCATTTGTACAAGTGTATCTTCTTACTTTAGTTTTGAACTGAATTAAAAATCTATAGCTAAAAATTACAGGTTGATATTGGTTAGTAAATTGAATACAACTATGTGGTTTCTATTAGATGAATAAAAATATAAATGCTTTCATATTGCAGTCAAATTGGCAATTTTAGAAAAACTTAAGGTTTTCAAATTACCTTTCTGACAATGTATTCTAATATGAGAGAAGTGAATAAAAGGAGGAAAACACATGTTTTCTTACGTGAAGAATTATAATGATTGATTTTCATGTGAGACAAGATGGACTCAGCTCTGTTTGATAAAAGCAGCAACAGAAGAGGCTAAATATAAGGAAAGCTATCAGAAGTCTGAAAACTAAAGGATGGTTTCCTGTAGAGCAGGTAGGCATGTTGTGCCATCCAAATGTTGCTGGAGTACGGTTTCCATCATTCTTCATTATTCACTAGCCTTGCATGGCCATCAGCTGCCCACTTGTGCCATAGAGGAACAACAATTTGACCAAGTATATGTAGATTTCCAAATTTATACAACAGATTGTAGCAATTCTATCCTTTCTCAAACCTCAATGTATATATTTATAATTAACTATACCAACAGTTTTGAATGCCTGTATAATGTACAGTGGTGCCTCACTTAATGGCGATAATCCGTTCCAGGAAAATCGCTGTTAAGCGAAAACATCATAAAGTGAAATTAAAAAGCCCATTGAAACGCATTGAAAACCGTTCAATGCGTTCCAGTGGGCTGAAAACTTGCCATCCAGCGAAGATCCTCCATACGGTGGCCATTTTCGGTGCCTGTATAGTGAGGAATCCGTCCCTAAGCACAGCGGGGAGCCATTTTAAGCACCCGGCAGCCATTTTGAAAACCCGACGATCAGCTGTTTTTGATTGTCATAAAGCGAAAATCGGTTCCCGAAGCAGGGAACCAATCATCGCTAAGTGAAATTCCCCCGTTTTCATGGTAATGCAGGTCAATCGTTAAGCGGCGCACAACTGTATATGCAGGGATGGTGTGGGCAGAATGTTAGTGTGATTGGCAGCTGAATGATTGAATGCTAATTGGTAGGTGTGATTAGAATCTAGTAGAGAGGAATCTGGTCTGCAAATCAGTTTTTGCAATAGCAGAGAACTTAAAGCTTAGAGTTTAAAAGAGGATAAGAAGTCTAGTCAGTGCTAGAGTTTATTAAGAAAAGTCTATCTTGAGAACCTAGAACGTGTATGTCAGAAAGTCTATAAAGTAGTTATTTTGATCTTGAATTCTGGAAAGAATATTTTTACATTTTACTGTTTTTGTTTTTAAATTATCATTCATACCTTAGAACCTACTTTCCTCTTCATACCAATTATATGTGACCCATCAATAAAATCTCCCGTGTTTAAGTCAAACTGTCCTCATTAATTATGTTTACCTGTAACTAAGATGTTAGGCAAAATACAGACAACATTACACACGTTTCACCAGAATAAACAATGTAATTATCTAAAGTAGAAAAACCCTTCACTAAATACCTGAGTAATAAAAGATATCAACTTGGAACAAGAAGGCTTTGGGTGGCACAGAATGGAAGGGGCAACGCCAGAGTACTTGGTTGAGGTTTTTGGAATGGTTGTCCTTTTAGGTTAATACATTTACTAGTGATAATAAGGAGCTGTAGCAAACAGCCCTGCCCTTACCTGCCCGTCACCGCAGAACATTGAAGCAGGAGCCAATGAGAGGATGAAAGGCCGAGTCAAGGGGGGAGGGAGCTGGATATAAAGACTGGTGTATGGAGTCTGAGAGAGAGATTCTGTGAGTGAGAGACTGTGTGTAACTTGAAAGAGTCTGGAAAGTGAGTTAGAGATCTGTAAGAGCCTAGATTGAAATAGTGGGTTAAAAGAGTTTTAAATTTATATCAGATTTGATTCAAATACAAGTGATTGGCAGCCTGTGATTTATCCATGAATATTCATCATTTATTTACTTCCCTGATTAAATAAAAGATTTAAGTATTGAACAGAACACTTGTCTCCATACTCTATCGATATTACAGCATTAATATCTGCTGGCAGAGATGAAGAAAGAAGAGTGAGAACCTCGTGAAGGGGGGGGGGATAGGGACTTCAGAGGAGATCAGCACAGAAGCATTGGCTAGGTTTAGTGGTGTGCAATGCATTGCTTCCAGGGGCATCTGTACAACAGAGGGAATTGTACCCATCAGGAAACACCACCCAACATATTGATATATCATTTAATTACTTTTTTAAAATCAAAGTTGAGAGGCTTCAGTGCCCCATAAAACAAGAGAGAAAATAAATCAGTACCGTGATGCAGCTGGCTATAATTATTCAAATTGAAGGAAATGAACTGGTTAAGTTAAAACACAATTATCTAGGTATATATACCATGTGAGCATGAAGCATAACAAAAAGGGATGAAAAGTCTCTACTAGAGGGGATAGTTTGCTGGTGTGACCTTAATTAATCCAGTGAGCTATATATGGGATTAGCAGTTGAATTTAGAATGTTTTCGTTCTACTGTTGGTCAAACACTTCCCTTCCAATGTCCAAAGCTTTAAACAATTTTTCTTTACTAGTTTTAAAACAAATATTCAAACATTTGTTAGAAACTCACTTTAAAATATTAGTAATAAAGAATAAGAGGTTGATTGTGTTCTATAAAAGTATAATTGCAAAAAAATAGGTACCCTTCAAAAGTAACTAAGATCATTGGAACAACTGCAAGCTAGATATTATAAGCAACATGCTCAGCAGACTATAATGTGTCCAGGTTTATAGGATCAAATTATAGCAGTTATTTTCCAGATCATTGGTTAGGCAAAGATTGAATGCACTTATTTTATTTTTGAATATGGAAAAAAAATTTCAAGCAGCTGTTAAACTATAGATACCAAATATTTTGGTGACAGCTTTAAAAGGTGGGCTCTATAATATTTTCATGCCTCTACAAGCCCTTGTGCAAGAATTTAATGTCATGAGGTTACCACTGAGATAAAACCATGAGTCCATATCTCACTAGCACTAAGATAAATATATTAACAGATAAAGTAAATCAAAAGTTGAAAAGTGATGTCTGGTTTTTATAAGACTATCCAATGGAATAATGTATGCCCGGAAATACATTTTTTTAAATCAACAAATATGGTAATCAAGTATTTTCTTATTTTAAGGATTTTAACCAGGGTAGACATCTGCCAAGGTCAGCCGAGGACATTTTGCTGGTTGCAGCAGAGGGCAAGATGATTCCTCATCCATTCCATGTACAATAAGATCATTAACTGAAATTTGAAGCTTACTTGTATCATTGGTGGTAGGATAGAATTCTCTACCACACTTAAGGATAAACTAATTTACAGATTCAAAACAGCCTTTGTCCTACAAGGAATGGGAATTTCAGGGAACTCAGGAAGATCAACTGGGGAGCTGCTCCTCACATTCTGCCATCTGTGTAACTGCTTCACTCTGCTTAATGATAGGGCTGATCCTGACATCAACACTGTAGAGACCTGTGCCAGCAATGAAAGAATATGTGACTAACACAAATAACTGCACAGTCTACAAATTGTTACACAATAGTAGCCAGGCAACTCCTGTTGTAAATACGTAAACTATACTTGATGATAGTGTGATGGTGTGAGATTTAGCCCATACTGGAATATTTGTTCGTGAAATTTGTTGGATTTGATAATTAAGACTAGTGGTTAATTTCTATAGAGTGGGAGAACTAACATTTCAAATCTTTCTGGACTGCAAAGTCTTATCATAGATAATGCTGCTAAAAGATATTTGAACTTATCTGATGGTGGTGGCAATTTTTGTTTTGTCCCCCAAACTTATATATCCTAAATATAGGGCTCTTCAGCATGCAAAAAGAAATCTCAAACTTGTTAAAAATTATACCAAAAAAACCCAGCAATATGAGTAACACCACATCAAATATGACCCAAGTACTCTAATAGTAGGAAAGGAAATGTCAAGCTACTTCAGCACCATTGTCAAAATGTATTTTTGCAAAACAATAACTTCAGTGAGGTCTAGCAGGTAAAATCCACATAAAATTGTCCTGCAAAAATATAGCATGCTTGTTCTTTTTTGCTTCAGGAAAAGGAAAGTATTGTTTTAATTTAATAGTCTTAACACATTAATTGTGAGCCTATACAGTACATGTTTATTCAGAAGTCCCGTTAAGCAGAAGTGGGTTACTCCCAGGTGCAACCTTATTAGTAGTAAGAAGCCCTGACACATTTGTTTTAGTGGACAATGCTTTATGTAAATGCTTAAAAGAGTTTTATTGATTTTTTTAAAGGTTTCAGCCATTTCAAATCTTTGAACATTTCAAAGTAATTTGAACAATAAAATTCTTTCAGAAATCTTAGAGAAAAATTGTGACCTAAGAAACAGACAAAGCCATAGAATGGTAAATTATATTTTTATTAATTTAAAATATAAACATGTTCAAGAACTAAAATATTTTTATTGGAAGAAAACATGTGACTACTAAATACCAATAATACTGTCAATTCCAGCTCTAATACATGACTTTATATAGTGTTAATTTAACAAATAAAATGTTTAAGAACATCTGCTCTAGTCATGTTTTCCAAGTCAGAGAACAAAACACAATAAATACATCCTTGAGAAAATATATAAGGCTAATACTCTTTCAGCATTTTAATGTTTTACACTAGCGATCAATGAAGTTCTTATATATTCTATAAATGTTACTTCATCTTGCCTCTTGGCAGTGAGAATATTTGTCCATCTATTTGTGCTTCTATCTGTTGGTAAAATAATCTGCTTTGTATTCTTGATACTGTTTTTGAATCGGCTTGAAAAACAGTTTCATCACGTGTTGCACTTTGCTGTCACAGCTATTTATAGTTTCACACATTCATAACAGCCCACCTTAAATCACTTTTTCATCTGGCATGCCATGGTTTAGGATGAGATTCTACAATTCATTTCTATACATATCTAATTCCCACTGAGTTCAAAGAGGGTTAGTCATAGATTTTAGCTTAAGCATCCTTATCTCTCCATTAGAACATTTCTGCAACTTGCAAGTATCAACCTCCTCTCATTTTAGTTGCCCAGTCTCTGAATAATAAAAATAATGGTGTGCTATCACATCAGTTCCCATTTATGGCAACCCTTTTCAGGCTTTTCCAGGTAGAGAGTACTCAAAATTAGTTTGCCATTCCTTCTGTATTCCCATTTTAAAAACTACTGTCTTTATAAAACGTGATACTAAATCAGGTGGAAACTGTTTCAATAAGAACTTCTACATTTTTAAAATAATTTGTCTAAATACTGGGCATGATCTAATCAATTCTGCCCCATTAACTGAACCTGGACTTTAAAAAAATTATCTAACATTTCCACTGGAATAGTCGTAATGTTAGCCATCACATAAGTAAACTATCTAGTCATACTTGGTTGCTATGTAAAGCTACACAGAAGTAGGGACAAGAATGAAATTTGTTTGATATGCATTTTAGTAAAAACTAATCAAATTCACTTTCCAAACAAATACATGAATCACAGTGAAGTTATCATTTATGTGTTGCACTTGTAATTTTGCAATGCAATTCTCAGGTCAAATGATGTATGCAAAAGTGTCTTGTCTGTCTATGTGTGTCTACAAAGACTATGTGTTAAACAAACATGTTAGAAAAACTGCATGCAAATCACTTAGGAATTCATACACTGATTTTTTTGGCAACAGTCTATATAAAAATTAATATGTATTTACATGTACACTTCTGCATAAACATTTATGTACACACAGAATAGTTGCCAGTTGCTCCTAATATGCATTTATTTTTACAAGCACATTTTAATTTATGCTTTTTTGTATGCTGTTCTCCTAATTTATGTATTTTTTTTAAAACTGAAGAACTATATCACAAAATTCAGGGAAGTGCAGAAACCATAGGAAATTGCATTTTGATTTCTGTGTTATTTTGAAAAGTGGAACTGCTTTGAAATGTAAATAAACAAAATTCACTTCCTTTGTTGGTCCCAGGTAAATGAGTATGGAACTGCAGCCTTCATAACTAGTTCTACCTTTATGTGCAAAGGCTTTGCTCATTTGATATGCATGACTTTAAAAATACAGTATACTAAAGGTAACACTTCAGTTGCCAATACAGTGGTCTAGTGATCCTTTTTAGAAAGAATGCCGCTCTAAAATGGTAACACTAAATGGGAATTTAGATATAAGTTGAACATAGATACTTTAAATTTATAACACTGTTCTAAATTCCCTGCAAAAAATTTGCACTAGAAAGACAATTCATGCTTTTCATCAAAGCTGTCCCATCCCCCAGAAAAACCACATTAAGCAAGAACTTCCTTTGGAGCCTATGCTTCCGAAAATGCCTTTCAGCTTTGGCTGAGATCTGGAATGCTCTTCCCCCTTTGAAATGTCTCTGAATCAAGAGGGTAGGAGAAATATGGCGCTGATACCAAAAATCCAGATGGCTGAGAGATGCTGATAGAATGGCCCATCTGTAAACATCCTGCCGTGTAAGGTGGTGGTGAAGATGCCACTATGCAGCTGGATTCTGGCCTGGCAAAGGAAAACCTGCGGATAGAGCCAGCAATATAGCTGGAGCTGGTGGCAGTACTGGATTGCCTTGATGGAGTCCTTAAGCTAGCTGAAGTAAGGATCATTGGTAAAGTCTCCATCTGGTAATTTCGAAGAGAGAATCTCATTGGTTGTTGCAGGGTTTGCTTAGGCCTTAAACACGTACAGCAGTAAACAGCAACGAAGGAGCCCACGAAAATGAAGGCTATAAATATTGATCCAACGATGAGAAATGGTACATATATTGGTTCTGAGTTAAAACAAAACACCATATTATAAAATAATCATCATCATCGTCATCATCATCTTAGTAGTACTTAGACTTAGTAGTACAAGTACTTAGTAGTACTTGTTTATGAAATGTAATTACTTGTATTGTTCAAAATATTAAGCAATTAATATAATATTAATATTTTTCATAATTCACAATGCAAAGTGTTTCAACAATAATAAAACACAATAATCAATACTAAACCTGACAAATTTGACACATAAGTCACTTACATGTTTTAACTACAGCTCATAAGCTATTTAGAAGCACTGATATTCTACTTTAATATCTAAGAATTGAAGAACACCTAATTGACTGCACCTGCAATTGTTTCTAATCAGTATCTGTATCAAGGATGGATAGATATAAGGACCCATTTTGACCAATAATGAGCTCAGGAAAACTGTACTTCACAAAACAGACATGAAACTGTAGAACAAGCACAAGTTCCACCCAAGATTTGGTTTGATTGATGTATTTGCAAATTTGTTAAACTTCTGGGATTGTTTTAAATAAAAATATAAACGGGGAAAGACTGATTTGGAAGCAGAGGGAGGCCACCTGGTTTATGAGGGTGTTTGGATGGATGACAGTGTTAACATTTGCTCAGCAGCTTCATGTTGCTTTTGAAGATAATCATCCATCAGTGATGGGGACACTTGTGAACTATGTAATTTCCTAATTTTCCAGTAATGAATTCTGAAACTATTGCAAACAGGAGATAAATAAGCTCCATAACATTTTAATCTTCTTTACTGGAAGGAGAGCCATGCAGGGCAGTAAACAGAATGCTTGATTAGGGCTCTGGAAACCTGAGTTCAAATCCCAGCTTGGCCATGGCCATGGCAAATCACTAATAGGTGTCAATGGTAACCCATTCCTACTAGGGTCACCACAGGTCAGCAGCAACTTGGCGGCACCGCACAACAACACACTTCACTCTATTGGGGGTGGGGAGTGTTAAAAGGACCAATGATAGTTGCTTCCCTGATATATCAGCAGTAAAATTTCAGGACTGACAGCGAGGGTTCCTTGTATATTCTCACCTATGGTACTGACTGACCAGACTGGGCACCCAGCAGCAACTCTGAACAAAACTTTTTTGTAAGTCCTGCTATCTTTGTCCTTGAATAATTAAGATAACTATTTCTCCCTCTGATGTTTCTACTTCTGACAACAGCTGTTTCCTCTGCTTTATTTAAACACACCGACAGACAAGCAAGTCTTCCTAAGAGCGCTCAAGACCTTTGCTGTTTGTCCGGCCCTCTGATCCCCTTTTCCAGCTGACAAAAACCATGAAATGGTCAACATCACAAAAAGCCTTTTTTTGGACTTCAGATTTCTGAGGACCTACGAAGCTGGTGAACGTTTTCTGCGCCCTGACAGGCACTTAACGCTCAGACGCCCCACTGTGTCCAATGGGTCTCACACCTCGGTAATTGCTTACCGGATTGTCGCTTTTGTCCCTTTAATAACTCGATTCATCGCCAATTGTGAAAACAGCAACCACACACGATCCGTGTCCGATCTGAGACAGATCCTTTCCCCGGACGATAGGAAATCCCTCCCGCTTCGGGCCACAACCAAACCTTTACCTTTTTTTTTTTTCCAAAAGATTTACAGCCCAACCCTACGGATGTCGATTCAGAAGGATGCCCTACTGCACGCTCCCGGGGATCTAGGTGTAGGAAGTTTTAAGTCATTAGACAAGATAGAAATCCTACATTATTTTCGTCGGGGAAAACCAAGGGGAAAAGTGTCCCCTCGCCCCAGGGCGATTGCTATGTAACGGGTTCTAATGCTTTCGAGCGAAGTAGAGCTGAAATCCATCGAAAGGTTTCGGAGCTAAACATGATCTTTCCCGCGCTGAATATTGAGGCTTAAAAATTGCTCGCAAATGTGCTTCGGATTCCGAAGTCGGGATTCGCCCCCAATTTTCTTTTTACCAGACTGCAGCACGGAATCCTTTCCCCAATGAAGCAGGATGCACACATTGCAACCTTACGTCCATCTACTTTGGAGCAAGTAGCGTTTACTTGCCGGCTGGAGGGAATCACCCATAGGCTCCGTTTGCAGACGCGGCTCACCAAGATCGTCGCCCTAAACAGCCTGACTAGCTTAAGCAGGGATCGCACCGAAACCAGACCGCTCGCCCTGGGATTTCCATTTCCGTGTCAAGCGGGGCAGGAAACGGTCGCAAGGGGGACAAGTGTTAAGAGTCCGCCTCTGCCGGGGGCAGCCGGACTTTTCGC